CCTCAAGGTTCTCTACCTGACGCTTCAGAGCACCTTTGTCTGTCCCAAGGTTTTCCACCTTGTGCAACAGGTCTTTCCTCTCCGACATCAGCGACTTGATTAACTCTTTTTGAGCTAGCGCATCACTCTCTAGCCGGTGAATCTAGCCGCGGGCTAATTTTAGCTCGGTATGAGCCTCACGAGAGGAACTCTCAGCTGCTAGACCCCGCTTTAAGTGCTGCTCGAACTGGTAGGTCAAGTCGTGCACGATGTTGTTCACCTGCCAAGAGTGTCGGTTAGTACCAGTAAGGCTACAAATGCAGAAATCGAAGCTTAAACAAGACTTACCACCATGCATTGGGTAGCTGTTCGAGCTCCAAGCTAAGCAGGCGATAGTTCGGCTTAGATGGAGACTTCCTCGATGCATGCAGGCCCTTTGCTCTTGCGAAGGCTGTATTGCGGGTTCAGAATATTCCGGGCTGATCCCACGCTCCCCGAAGTAGTAACAGCAATCTCAGGAGTGGGCTCCGCAGTTGTCTCGAGCTCTTGAGGTAGGGCCTTCTTCGGTTCCTCTAAGTCAATCACCAGAGCAACAGAGGGCTGTTCAGGCTCGGGAGTAGGAGCCTGAGGAGACTCGACGCGAGCTCTTTTGATAGCCCACTTCTTCTTCCCCTTCATTTTCCCAAAGAGTTTATCCGCACTGAGCCGTTCCATGGGGCCTGCAACAAAGCTCAATGTTAGTGATGCTATCAAAAAGAGATGGCAACTATTAAGATAAGATACTAACTCTAGACCAAAGCGACCTACCAGGGCTCAAGCTGACTTCTATGAGCTTGTCCTCGGTGATACAGTCCTTGTAGTCGAACCCGAGTTCCACCCAAGATTGGAGCATCTCTCTTGTTTTCAGGTCCAGCCTAATACCGGAGTCCTGAACAGCCACCCTCCAATGAGTAGGAAAGGGCCACCCCGCGGAATTGCGGACTACGAAATAATCCTATTTCCAGGCCGGGATTTTACTAGGAAGCTTGTGCGAGGGGACAGGTAGTAGACCTGCCTATGCTCGGGGAGAACACTAGAGGCATTCTTCTTTATGGACGGGATAGAGGAGAAAATTTTGAGATCAAGGGGGAGGGCGTAGTCGAAGCAGAGGGAAATTATCCCGACCACATTCCGAATGAAGTTCGGGTGAAGTTGGTCTATGGTGTCGAAAAACTTTAAGACCTCTATGATCAGAGGATGTAGAGGAAGATGGAGCCCAGTCGCGAGCTGCTCTCCGAAAATCACGATCTCATCGTGTCCGTGTTCCCAAGGGAAGTTACCCGCGGGGAGATTATAGGTATACTCCCTCGGAAGATTATACTGACGGATCAAGGCCCTAAGTCTCTCTACGATCATAGTTGAGGGACCGAACTTATCTGGTACCCGAACTCGAGGAGAGGTAGACGCTGGGTTATCCGAGGCCTCCTGCACCTCGTAGGTTGATTGTGCCTCAGAGGCACCTACTTGAGCCGAGGTACCCAACTCAGGCTCATCTAGGAGACTATCAAAACTATGGCCTGACATAACTATGAACTGAAAAAGAAGCTAGGGAAACTCACCAAAGGAAAGCAGTCAAACTAGGAAGCTGACGAACTGGAGAACCTGAGTTGAGGAATTTAGGCGCGACCTCAAAGTGAACGCTAGTGAACTTATGGCAGAGGAAATGACTCGGGTCCCCCCTATTTATGGCCGCTATATCCGAGAATCAACGATTAAGATCAAGACGATCCAACGGCTCTCAAGGATACCGGCTGCGTGACTCCCGAGGTGAAATCAGTTTAGCACGTTTTTTTACATCGGTGGAGTCTATAGATCACGTGATGTCCGCGCGTGAACTGTACGCAACCCGGGTTATCCTTGATTGAGCCAAGCAGCGAACTGGTCCGACTAACGAACTATCTGACTAAGCGACCTGGACTTCGAGCCAAATCCACCCGTTACGTCATGAACTCCCCACACCGGGTCAGGACCCCTGGCCTAGGGAGTGGGGGGCAATTGATGGAGGGTGATTCGGCCCAACCTCATAATAAGGGGACACGTGGACAACTCAGCATAACGAGCTCAGTACAACTTAGCCTAATAGCTTGCCCGAAGTGGCAGCTCGCGGCAAGATGATACTCCGATGACCCGAGCTAAGACTCTCTCAAGTAGGAAGCATCCCGAGCTGAAGACACCTCGGGATGAGCTTGTCAGCCCCCTAACTGGGATCAGCTAGCTCCCGCCCAAACTTAGTCTACTTAAGAGATCCACCTCGGCGCATCACCAGTAGCTCAGTGTAAGGTAGCTCGCGACAGAGTGGCTCGGCGTATCGTACGAGATTTGCCGCCTGACAACCGTACCTGCTAGACTGCACCCACGTCTCTTGCCTGGCGGCGGCATGCCTGCCATCACTGAAGGTCGTTTCTTGTCTGGCAAGGTCATACTCTGCAGCGACCACCTTTGCCCGACAGCTCAACTCTGACAGGTAACGGCCAGCCACGCCAAGCCGTTATCTGACAGCAGATCGCCGCAGTAGGGATTCGGAGGCGGTTACACCTGATATGTCAGAAGATTAGTATATAAGGGCCCAGACCCCCAAGAGAGAGGGGATTGACGTGATCCTCACTCTTAGCCCTCCTATTTTCTCTACAACTCTCTTCTTCTTCTCCCAGCTTCCAACTCAAGTGCTAACTTAAGCATCGGAGTATTCCCGCCGGGAGAGCTCCCTGGGGATCCTTCTTTCTCACAGATACCTCGTCCGTCCAGTTAGGAGCACTGCCGCCGCCAGCTAGGAGTGACCAAATCGCGCACCATCAACTACCTTACTGTTTCTGACAATTGACTAATACTTTCCTTATCGTCAGTGTCCATTAAGAAAATGATGAAAAAGACTATTTTACTCATCATTCTTCTTTAAATTTTCAAAATGAAACTTCAGTTTTTGTTATAAGGTTAAGAAGAAAGGATTAAAATTTCTAAAAGAAAGATGAAATAGAGAGAGAGAATTCAACCTCACCTTATTCACAAAATCGACGGCCTCGGCTTCTGCTTTATATACCGAATTAACAATATCTTTGAATGCAGGTTTTAGATTAACAGATTTTTCAACCCAAACGCCTGAAAGAGAGATGAGGGCTTCCATTGGTGAGAGGTCCTTTGACGGAATCGATGAGTTGACGGCCAACCTGTTGGAGATGATCGATGTTTTGGGACTTGAGGAATGATAATATCTGTGCCAATGTTCGACCACTGAATCCGCAACCTACAAGGCTAGCTCAAACCGAGGTAGATAGAAAAGGGAGAGAAGACAAAATTGGAGTTGTTGGCCTCGTTTATGGTGGAGCACTTGGCGAGTTGCAGACATGAATCGGTTTGTACACTCATCAGTAGCCTGAACTCCATTTGGAACCTCAGCTGATAAGAGTTCTTGAAGTTAAGAAGGCTGAACACTAAAGACATGGAAGAACAATGAAGGGCCCTTCCAACGAAGCCTTACCTGTTGACCTCTGAAACTACTCGCCGCCGAGCAAGATGCCTGGACCCCCCTTTTTTCCTCCCTTTCTTTCTTTGAGGCTCGGTTCGTTCTTTCGTTTTTTATCATCTTTTTTTATTCGTTTTTTATTTTCTGTTTTTTTCACGCTTCACCTGGAGATAAGAGAGAAAGATGAGCAGCATTGGGGTGAGTCAGTGTAGACAGAGGTTAAAGGGTATTTTAGGAATGAAGGTGGGAAAGGTATTTTCGGAATTTTTGATAAATATATTAGTCACATGACTGAAAGTTAACGGATGTTACGGTAAAATCAGACTTAATTAATTGTCAGAAACAATAGGGATAGCATTAGTCAATTTTAAAACAATAAGGATACACTTAGTCAATTATCTAAACCATAAGAATAGTTTAAGAAATTTAGCCTTCTTATAAATGTTGGCTTGGTCCAACTTACCCCCAATAAATTTGTTATCAAGTGTTGCATCGTCTAATATTTGCATTTTTATTTAAGCAAGTTAAATAGTTGAACCATTCAGCCGAGGACCTAGTGACCAAACAGTTTCATAAAACAGTATTATTTGGGAGTGTTTGCCACCAAATATGATTTTACTCATGTAGCTGATGTTTTGTTTTGAAAAACAAAATCATATATACATGTCAGCAGAAAACCCCTTTAATATTTGAAAGCTCCCAATTTAATTAACTTATTAACAAATAACAACTATTATTTGAAGTAAACCCAAGAATTGCTTCAAGCGCAACTTAGGGACTCATCTCCTAGGTGGGTAAATAACATTCCCACCTAGCGGGAAAGTTGTCAATGTTTGAATGGGACAAAAATGATCCTTTTAATAATAGATTTGTATAATTAAAATGGTTATTGCCTTATTTACATGAGAAATAAAAGAACATGGGTAAATGCACTTACCCGGATACACAGGTAACTGCATTTACCTACATAAGAAACTAACCAAAAAGCGAACGTAAGAGTTAATTCATCAACAGCTAGTTCAACTCATCAACGTGGCCTTGATCCAAATTACTTGAGATTGACTATACAAATCATGTTCCACCATTATTATTAGGGATATCAATTGGATCGGATTTGGACCATGTCCAATTCAATCCAATGAATATTTTAGACCAATTTGGAGCAATCCAATTCAATGTGACCGTTCAATCTGTCCAATTTAGTTTTAATTTAGATTGGCTGCAACTCAAATCTGGTCTATTGACACCTGTATTCGTATCTTCTATAATCTAAATGGACTAGATATTGGTTCAATCCGACCCAATCCAATATAAATCTATTAAGGATCGATGGACGACAAAACTGGCACCTTGGGCTAAGATTATTTTTAGTGATTATCCTTTTTTCTTTTTTGAAAACATGATTATACTTTCAATTAACAGAAAAAAAAAACCCAATTTTTTTAACAATTATCCCGTTAATCTGAGCAATGAATTCGTAAATCGTTTCCCCTTGAATTAATATAGATAGTAATCAAAACAAAGTGGAACACATACCGGTAATTAAATAAACTTAAATGAATAAAAAACAAGGCAAAATACAAAAATGAACTCGCAACTCCAGAGCTAACTCAAAATTCATTCCTCAAACTCACAATTGCAGAGAAGCAAACGCCGGTTGTCACAGAATTATTTGAAGAAAAATGAAGGAAGTATTGAACAAGAGGGAATTGGTAATAAGAATTAGCCTCCGCCGGATCCGTACTTCTTCCCGAATACGATCATCTGTAACTTGTCATACCCAGCAAGCACTCCGGCACCAGCCACCGCACGTAGGATATTTGCGCCGGCACCTTTGAACAATGACTTCATCCCTTCATTCTTCACGATCTGTCTGAATGCATCCATGGAGCTCTTGTACTTAACGGCTTCCCCGGAAGTCATCATCATCCTTCTACGGACTGTGTCGATTGGATAGGATGCAAGCCCGGCTCCATTCGTGATCAACCAACCCAGTGCAAAGCTCGCGAAAAAACTATCCTGAAATCATCGAACAGATAACAACAGTGAGATGTAGTAAAATCGATCTGATATCAACTGTACCCTGCATTTTGCATCTGTTTCATCCGTTCACTAACCTGCAGCTTTCCAACCAGAACCACAGGCTTCAGAGAGTCATACATTCCGAAGTAGAGACCCCGGTAGACGATGATCCCAATGCAGGAGATGTTGAACCCACGGTAGAGCCCAGCTATGCCATCAGATTTCAGAGTTTTCGTATACACATCAACCAAACCATTGAATTGTCTCTCGCCTCCTCCCTTCTTTGCTGCTTTCGCGTCGTTCGCCAGACGAGTTCGGGCGTAGTCTAGCGAGTAAACAAATAATAGAGAAGAAGCACCAGCCGCACCTCCTGATGCTAAGTTGCCTGCAAACCATTTCCAGTAGCCATCTCTATCCTTCTTGAAGTTAAACATGCGCTTGAAATAATCCTTGAATGCGAAGTTTAAGGCCTGGTTCATATACACACAAATTTGTTACAGACGACAGGAGACATGAACAAACAGGTAACAAGCGTAGCTGTCTGAATATTACAATTTTTCCAACATAAGTTGGGTTTAAACCTATTTAGTGGATCGATTGAAACAGGGAAAAGAATAGATAAAACAGATCGCAAACCTGAGTAGGGAAGTAACGGATGACGTTTGCAGTGTTGCCTCTCCACAGTGAGGCGAATCCCTCATCCTTGATCGTTCGAGCAAAGCAATCACCAATTCCCTTGTAGGGCTCAGAGAGTCTACCAGCCTTGATCATTTCGTCCTGGTTCTGGATCAAAAGCTTCACACGCTCAATGGGAGCTGCAGCGGTTTTGGATACAGCAGCAGAAACTCCACCCATCAGGAAGTCGACGATGAAAGCCCCAGAGCCTTTCTCCGAAGGAGCTTCGACAAGAAAAGGTGACAAGGAAGAGGGCACAGAGATACAACGGCTCCCTCCATACGCCTGCATAGAAGGATTGTTCGGTCCCCCGTGTCTGTAACTTCCAAAAGTGAAACGTCTCTCACAACCGGAAGGCTTGTAAAGGCTACTACCATTCCGAGCCTGCACATCTTGGGAATAACAGAATCTAAGTCGGAATTGACTTCCGACTTTCTGAACAACAGATGGTCGACGAGGCCGATCTGCCATGCTTGCAAAGCCTACATTCAATATGGATAATTGTGATCAGCATAATAGAAGGGCAGAAAGAAACAGATTAATTTCCATCGACGATTTGATAAAGATTCAGGAAGATTTAATTCCAATTAATTAAAGATTCAGGGGATTTGAGACACCACTGTTAGTACCATTCTTTGAGCTAGATCGGATTCAAACTAAAAATCAATGACCGTCTGTTGATAATTAGAAATTCCATCCCAAAATCAGCATATGAGAATAAAATTAAAGGATTTTAATTCTGGAAACTATTAAGAGATTGGAAAAGCCGTAGAGAACGAGAAATGAACAAGCATTGAAGCGCAAATGAATTCTAGTAATTAGAAGAAAAGGAAAAGACTGAGAACAGTCGGAAGAAAAAACAAGCCATCAAAATTGTTTTAACCTTATTTTACCTCGACAGAAGTTTGCAGCAGGAGAATGTTCTCTCCCGGAACAAGAGATCGACGTACGGATTCACCAATCAGTGGAAGTAGTTCTGGTAAGGAAAGAAGAGAAAGAACGAGACAAAAACAAATTGACACCAACTATTAATATTACCATCGAAAATAAGATTTGGAACGGAAGTCATCTGTAACGGAAAGAACGATATTTCGGCACGAGAAGTGCAAATTCGTACGCACGTTCGTTTTTCGCCCAGAGATCCGAAGATATCGGGGGCTCAGTCGTCGCTGTTTTCCTTAACGTATGACGCGGGGTGGCAAAGCCATAGGAATGGGATCGGAATTAGAAGAGAAAGAACTGCAACTTCAGAGTTTTCAGTCGTCGTTGGTTTTTAGTTGGAATTAGATTCAAAATCCATAGGAATCAGAATCAGAAAGGTATATTCTTCCCATGTTCCGGCTGTGGGAATGGAATCGGAATCAGCTCTATTAATAGCCTGTTATGGATTTTCTCTTAACGGGCGAATGTCGTTCTACCAATTTATGAGATTGAATTCCAATTCCCCAGCCAAACAGTTGAAATCGAAATAGATCATTTCCATTCCGATTAATCAGACCCCTAAAACAAACGGACTCAAGGTGTTCTTCACCAAAAACTTGATCAATGTCGCAGCCGGTGGATTTCTTCCAATAGATAAATCATGTTTGTTTCATGAATTAAAGCCCAGAAACAGCCGAATCAACCGAACAACAATTAGAAATAGTAAGAGGCAAGCGGAAGAGGGAAGAAATTAAAGCGGAGGAACGGAGAGATTGGAAGTGATTGAAATGTGTTTGTGCTCCTTCTTCGGCATCCTTTTGTGATTTAAGGCCGACTTAAGTGCAACTCGGGTGGCTCAACCTGAATCAGACGCAACCTGTGGTTCGATGGTTTATCCATTCGGATTAGTGGATCGCTGACCAAATTAATGGTTTTTGGCCAAAGACAATTTTAGGGTGAAACAGAATCAGTTAACTGACTGATTTCTGGTTTTCTCGGTCTGGTCCAATCTTAAAAACCATGATACAATTTACACATATTGATTGTTATATGAAATGTTATTTTATTACACATATTGTATTATATAATCTATAAAATTAAAAGACAGAAAAACAAAGTAAACAACACATGCAGCACGATCCAATCCCAACTTAGGGTTTTACTTACTGTTGGGCTAGGCCTAGGGCTAGGGCCCAAAGTCTTGGAGTTGGGCCTAGTTTGAGCCTAGGGCTAAGACCAACCCAATTCACTGGAGTTGCATCCCTAGTCATAGAGATCAATTAGGTAGTACATCCGCCTTGACCCGATCCTATTGGATTGAGATCGGATAAGGTTAAGTGGACCAGGGGCTACATCAGCCAGATTCAGGTTGAAGCTAACCCACACTCAACCCTATCTCTCAGATGGCATCACTAGACTTAACGACTTATATAGCTTTTCTTTTAGTGCACAAACAATTACATCATATATAATACTCACTGATAATAATAGTTTAACTCAGCTTCAGCTTCAGATATTAAGCAATTCATTCAACGGAAAGCAGAGCAATACGTTATTCAGTTCAGCGATTTCAAAATTTATCAAATGACGCAAGTAGGGATGCAAACGGATGGGATTGGATTCGAATCAGGGTATATTCGAATCCAATCTGACACTATTCATATTGAATCCAATCCGATCAAATTTGAATCCTATCGGTTAGTTAGATTTTTAGATATGGTCTGATCCGATTTATTTTTTTTTTTAAATAATAAGTTATTAAATAAAAATAAAATATACTAATTTAAGTAAAAACAAAAATCCATAACCAAGTAAAAACAAAAATCCACCCCTATTCTCAAGCCTCAAAAAAAAAACAATAAACAAACCAAGTAGCTTCTCTAGCCATATCACACCTTCCAAAATCCATAACCATTTGAGAACCTACCTTGGCAAAAGTCGTAGGGGGCATTCTACTACAACGTGATTTTGTTTTTCTTGTTGTCGGCTCCAAAAACAAGTCAAAACCATCTTTTTTGAAAATAGATTATTTCTTAAAGTAAAAACACAAAAAACATATTCTTGATTATGTATGTATTTTTTGTTTTCAAGACTGAAACTAAAAACATGTTCTGGAATCTGGTTACTCAACATCATATTCCTCAAACCATATAATATCTATATTAAAAAAATTGTTTTGTTTTAATTAAAAACTAATATTTTTGTTGGCTTTAAAAAATGTATTGTTTTTTGAAACAAAATCATCTTGTTTTTTCTTTGAAAACAAATAACAGAGTTCAAGAACATGTTTTTGTTTTTGGGTAAAATATAAAAACCTCCTCTAAAATTTCTGACAATTATAGAAACCTCCCTTTTAGTTTCATTTTAACAAGCACCTCCCCTGAAGTTTTAAAAAAACTGACAAAGACCTCCCTCCCATCATTGACCCAAATGAAAAACATATAAAAATACGAAATTACCCCTGTTTTTATCATGAGGGCGTCATTCATAATATATTGAAATGTCAAAAATACCTTCATTCGATTAACAATACTTTCACGATTTTACGAGTGTTCTTGAGCGGCAAAGGTCCTTACAAGTGTGTATGTGAAATAGTTGAGTACTTGATTCAAAAAATAAAATCTTGGTTAGATCTGACACGAATCAATTTAATGATTGGTTCAAGAATTAATAGTGGTTCAATATATATTTCTCTGAAACCTCCCCAGCTTCAGCCACCATAGAACTAATAAAAAGTACACAGACAGCTACAAATGCAGTGAACATGGTCCTGATCCTCTTCTTCTTGCTCTAATCCTCCTGCAACTCCACCACCGTCGTTGGCTGGGTATACGCGTAGTCCATCGTCTCCACCACCACCAAATCCTTTGAACCCTGTTGTTGTTGATGTGGTTTTGGTTGGAGTTGCTTCCGCCCCTTCCACCTCCACTGCCCAGGACGATGACATTCCGATGGAAGTTGCGGTGGCACGCTAGTTGCCAATGAAGAACAGTTGCCGGAATACAAAAAACATTCTCCGGTGAATGAAATATTCTGAGCAATGGCGCCACAATGTTGTGGTCTTTTTCTCTGAAAAAAGACTTGTAAAAAGTGTTGTTAATGGAATAGGCATTTTTGACATTTTATTATATTGTGAATTACGTTTTGACGATTTTCCTCCGTATCGGTGACAAAAGGGAAGAGGTAAAAATAAAGATGAAGTTTTTATGATTGTCAGAAATTTTAGGGGAGATTTTTATATTTTACCTCTTAGATGATCTGGCGATTTCAAACAAACAAACAAACAAAAATATTGATATTATAGAATGCCCCCCAAGTTGCCAGAATTTTGGCATTAGTACAAACGCTTTTTTGGGCATTGTTACAAAGCCCGTTATAAGCTGATTTCAGTATTTTACCAACAAAACGCCTTTTTTTTCCTTCATGAATCCAAATCCAGTCGTCTACCCCAATCAAATACAGACACAGACAACCCTTTAGAATAGCTTACAATTACCGATTATCAACAAGCTGCCTCAACAAAATCAGCATTCCATCTTTTTAGACTTGAGAGGTTTGCAACATATTTGAATGTATTCATCATAGTTTTCAAAATTGGATCGGATTGGACAGTCAGATGGGAAAAAAAAACTCCGTTTCACCTTAAAACCATTTTTTGGTCAAAACCATTAATTTAATCAGTGAATTGCTGGCCTAGGTGTTCAAACTGTCAACCGGATGGCAGTTTTTGGCCTTCTTTTATTTTGTCAAAATGAATCGTTTATTCAGACCAGACAGTTACACTGTTCAACCTAGGAACCGGTCCTTAAAATGGTTCCTTGTCTGATCCGATTTTAAAAACTTTGGTGGTCATCAGCCCAGGAACCAAGAAAGCATCCATAGACCACTTCTATGACCCGTATCTTCGAATCCTCAAATGCATCGCTTGTAAGTTGCAATAAAAACTATTTTGAAAACATTCATAAATTGGTTTGTTTTAAAATCATTATTGTCGTTACTCATACCTTATCTCAACTATATGGCAATGTTTTTAACCTGCCATTGATCCAGACGGTTCAACCGTCCGACCATCACCAGACTACATTTTCCGTTCCAGTTTCACTAAACCCGTCTTTTAATGAAAACCGTTGATTAAGTTAACAAACCGTTGATTCGGATGGTTGAACCATCAATCCAGATGACCCGGTTAGCAGGTGACGGTTAAGTAGAAAATTTTTGAAAATGTCGACCTTGTCCTAACCCTTTGCCCGACCCCAACCTCCTTTTATTTTCATTCTCTTTTTACTTTCTTTTTTCATTTTAGGGTTTTGTTGAAGAGAAACGAATGAGGAATTTCTTTCTTTCAGAAGAAGACAACAAAGATCCCACCATCTTTGAATGAGAGATTTAGCACCGGCAACTACAACGGTTACCTCCGGCGACTTGCAATCAGATCTGGAGTTTTGGAGGGTTTTGCTGAGAAGAAACGGAAGAGGAGTTTCTGTCTATCAGAAAAAGAGAACCCCACCATCGTTGAATGAGAGATTTAGTGTCAGAAACTACAGTGATTA